TTGGCCTTGAAACGGAAGGAATATGTTATAAGAAAATGTATAAATTTAAAATTACTTTGGCCTTGATGTTTTGGCTAAAAAAATGTGTTTCATTATAAACGATATTTTTTCATCTTACAATGCAGAATTAATTGTATTTCTATCTTCTTATGACTATTTATATACTACAAATTAATTTATTTGAGGTTTTAAGAAAATTAGTATGAACTTAACCGAATATGCTCTAAGATTAGTATAAGATTCGGTTCCAAGACCTCTCATTCCAAGACCTCGGTTATTACGTTTGAGGTTTATTCCGTTTTGTAAACAGTTAAACGGCGTGTAGTCCTAGACTATATGTATCAGACGACACGGCGTTCTTGTACACGTGATCCAGAACGGAGCGAAGTTTAATCGATTTTGGCAGATACTTAATTAGTTAGCTATTTACTGACGTGGCAGTGTCGGACCAAGCCGCATAACTTAACTATAATACGGATTCCAAACTCCAAGTTAAAAGACTTTTTGAGTTAATAAAACGCTTTGGAGTCCGGACCTGTACGAACTGCGAAAAAAAGCCGAAAGCGAGCCAACAAAAAGCAGAACCAAAAATAATCCAAATTTCTTTACCCTTTTTTTTTTACTTATCGAAGAAGCTTTCTCTTCTGAAATCATCTTCCGATGAATCCATTGTTAGACATCAAAAGTGTAATCGGATTTTTCCTGTAATTGTCACTCTTCCGGCGACTAACTCGGTTTCTCCAGTGGTAAGCATTAGAATATTCCTTCGTTTTTAGGTTTCTGTAAATTTTCAAGCTTTGGTTTCGTTCTTTCTTGATTGTTTTTGGATTAATTGGCTTTTTTTTCATTCGAAATTCGATGGAATATACCTTACAATTTTCAATTTTGACTGTGGAAACTGCAAGGTAATCGCTTATCAATTGTGAAACATTCGAATTCTTTAAATGGGAGTGTTCAAATTGTACTTTTGTTGTTAAAAATTGACACTTTGGTACTGATTTGTTTTCCTCTGTTGGTAATTTAGAATTAGGAATCTGTTTTGGTTTAGGTACTTGGTGTGAAATTGTATAGGCAAATTTGCAAAAAAACTAATCTGTTTGGACTACAGATTCCTGAAAGGCTTGTTTTTTTTTTTTTTTGCTTTGTTCAAGT